AGATGATTCACAAGTTATGAATCCTCTTGATTCAGAAGTTGACAGTATCTCTGAAATTAATTCTCTCTTCTCTTTCACCTATTACATAAAAGGTATAGAGTACTGAATAAAGAAAGTTGAAACAATTAAAACATGTAAAATTATTTAAAAACTATATCAAAAATAAATTTTTACTTTACACATTTTAATTTACATATTTTTTTATTCACTGAAATAAGTAATGACTGAAATAAGTAATGAATATTTTAAGACAAATATATTCTAGCAGCATCAAAATTTTTAATTAATTATAGTCTTATCAATGTCTCTAAGAATTTCGATAAATTTATTGTACGTATAATTTCTTGCATGTTTGATCTTATAATACTCATCTGTTGTAGCACCTTCTATATTGCGTATGCTACACCATACAGTGGGTGATGAAATATTTCAGAAAGGGATTAATATGTATATGAAAAGAAAGTAAGTATTTTCATGTCTTGTATCTTTTCTCTCTTTTTCTTTACGTCAAATAAGTAATTTTTCATTTTTATTTCTTTGTTACATGTAAGTTTATATGTAAATAATAATTTACTATATTCTTTGCTATTTTTGTGCCGTATAATGTTACTGCATATAAAATAATTTTCTCAAATACTGTCTTACTTCTCGAAATAAGAAAAAATTTAAATAACATGTGTTAAAATAAAAAAAATTTGTATCCAAAAATTTGCTATATCTTAATGAATGACTTAATCAGCATTAAAATTTAATTTAATTATATTTTGAATATATCTTTATATGTATTTTCGTTTGTAGATAATAATGGAAAAAAATTGGTAAATATTTTTATAAACTTTATCTTTTTATTCAATAATCTCAAATAAAATTCAATTGGTGCAGTCGATGTTGAGACTTTACAACTTAATATTGCAGTTTTGCGCAAATAAAATCACGGGCGTCTGTCTCACACATTGATAACTGAACTGAGTGAATGATTTAATTTATGTATTTTTTTTTCGACAATTATAAAAATTGTGAAAATTTTCTTTATGCTATATAAGAGAAAATTATATTTGCTGATATTGTTTCTATCATAGAATATACATCGTGAATAGAACTAAATTTTATACATTTTTGTAAGGACGGGAAGTCTGGACGATTTCTGGACTGTAATGCAATCTGTGTATGATTCACAAACTATGGATTTGGAGAAAATCAATGTGAAAGATCTGATGAATCCTTGGATACAAGAAAAGCAATATCCTATTCTTAGTGTAGCGGAAATCTTTGGTTCCGAATGGACGAAAATTTTTCTACAAACTGCTTCCGAAAACTGGACGGTACCATTAACACATCAAGTGTACATAAATTTGAAACGAATTTTACCCACATTTTTGTCTATGGGAACAAAAGCACTTTCTTACAACGTGTTACAATTCTGAACACAGTCGGTTTATAATAATCAATCGG